GAAGGATCCTTTTGAAATTTCTCATAGGACTTTACTGTCATTTTTATGCCATTAAACATAAAAGAAGTATTTTGCACAAATCAAATTAACTTTGCACTTCTCTTTCTAGACACTAAAAAAAAAATTAACTTCAATAACTGGACCTGCTTCATTAGAATATGTTTTTTGAAGGTTAATGCATTGTGTAATTTGAAAAATAGTTCCCAGAAAGATGTTCCATAAACCATGGAGAAAGTAACATATAAACCACATGTCATTTCACTCCTTTTGTGATATTCTGATATGCCAGCTTTATTCTATGTTAAAAAACTCTCCAACATTCAGGACACTTTTTCCTGTCTTATGATTTCTACCCTGCTATTCTACAGCTACCAAAGGGGTGCTTCTGGGGAGCTGGGGGACAGCACACTAAAGTTTAAAGACTAAGGTTTGGCTGTTGCAGTATAGCAACTGAGATAGACTGAAATAACTATATTGTTTTAACTGCTCGACTCCAGTAAGTGAAAACACATGCCGAGTTTAACCTCCGCCTAAGAAGAAGTATTACAGAACATAGCATAGCCAGCAAATTTAGCTGAGAATATAATTAGCCTGTTCCTTTCACAAAAGTCAACAAAAGTTTGGAAGTATACTGTAAATACAGCATTCACTCTCAAAGGGATGTCAGTTATAATTACCATAAGTACAAATCTTAACTAGTAGTTACCTACAGTATTTTCGAACATTCCTGTATACTTACCAAAGAAACCAAAAAACCTTATTATTTTTCCCACTTATCCCCACAATTGACAACTATAGAAACAAGAAAGTTTGGATCTGGTTTTCCCTACATGAGTCTGTAAATCAGGCTCTTTCATGTGGTTCCATAAGGAATGTTTCCCTAAGAAGGCAGCTACTAGGAATAAGGTGAACTAGGAATAAGGTGAATTAAGGTTTCCTGAGCTCTTCCTGGAAAGCAGAACAGGATAGGCCGGAGTTCTGGAAAGTAGAACAAGGATGGACCCTAAATGCAATCCACCTGATGATTAATTCAAATAGAAAAACAGAGAGATCAAAGGTGGGGGGGACAATGGATTGGGGGGGGGGGGAACAGGGACAACACCAAAAAAAAGGAAAAAAATATAAAAGGACAGCGTTCAGACTCTTAACGGCAAGTTTATATCAACCCCAAATTTTCTCCACTCTGACAACGAAAAACAGAACATGAGGATACACAAAAACTATCAGAAAGAGATTATAGTGAAAAAAAAGTGCATTTCTAGGTACATCTGGAAAGTCAAGTGGCAAAATCAAAAACATCAAATGCTGTTACCAAACACTAAGAATTTGTTCCACAACTGTTGCTTTCAACAACATTTGTATCAGGTCTGGCTGGAAAGATGCCAGTGAAACACCGTGTACAATCTAGTGGATTTTGTCCTGTAACATGTTTATTCTTGGTCTCTGCATTGCTCTTTCATCTGTCCCTAAGATTCAGGATGGTCTGTTTACCAGCTCCTTCTCTAAAGACAAGACTTTTTTGTTTGTCCTCAATTCCTGTCTAGAAAGACAATGATGCATTCTTCAAGGATGAAACATTTCAGTTATGCAGAACCATAAAAAATTAGAGAAAGTATGACAAGTTATAATTCTGACACCTATGCATTGCAATTGTTTCCACACCTCATTAAAATATTTCATGTTTGACAGTGCTGAACTGAAGTATTATATGTTGGATGGCACAAGCATAGTGGCATAATGGAAGAGACAAAAATAAGTACAAAATGTCCAAGTCTCTCTCCCTTCTGATGAAAAAAAAAAAGCTTTAGAAGCTGACATAGTCAAAGGGACAGTGGCTCCATTACTTGATAAAAGACCATCCCTAATCTTACCATCATCTCCTGCCCTGTTCTTCTGTGACTCTTCACAATCTCCATAGGCCCCAACTACTGAATTTTCTTAGCAGCTGATCCCTCAGAGACTCATGAAACACAACATAATTAGAAAAAGGCACTGTCTCCACAGTAAAACACAATACCCACCAAGCTCCCTTTCCAATTCCATTGCTTTTATTTGTAACTGTAAAATCTTAATGTAGAGAGTCAGAATTATGACACAGCTTGCAACTGCTTCAACACTTGTCATTTACTATAGTAAATGTGACAACTGCAAGAGAAAGGGTGTTCACCTGCATTTAGGGCGCTACACTAGAACCAGATGTAAGTAAAGACCTATTTTCTATGCAAACAAAATTATTATAATGCAGGATATATAGAAGCAGCATAAAGTTCCCACTGGAAATTTTAACTGATATTTCCACGATTTTGACTCCTTGAGTGTTGATAGTGCTTCCAAATTATTCCCCCAACAGTGCCCTAATTTTTGAAGTCAAAATAATTGAAAAATTGAATTTGTTAATAAGAACACTCTTTTGAGAATACCAATAACATTTTCTTTGTCATTCTAGTCAAACACACACTTGTGGAAGTGAAAGTATAAAAACACACAGGAAAAGGGAAACCATGTGTCCTCCAGCCTCCTGAACAGCATTATTTGCACACAGTCTCTCACACAGCTCTGGAAGTTACTGGCATCCAAAGGGTGTGCTGGCTCTGCTCCTTTGCAGATGTAGGAGGCAAGATGTTCTTTCCACCTCGGATCACTGAAAGGAAATCCCAGTCCACAAGACCAGTGATCAGTGTGTTTCACCTCCTGGAGAGAAGACTTGAGAGAACTCCAAAGTGCTAGTAAGAAGAATAAGATTTACATCGATAACCTGTTCACAGGAATACCTGTACCACCAAAAAAATTTGTCTAGATTGTTCTCCCTTAAGTTACAAAATTGATTCCATGGTTCCCATCAGAGCAGGAGTCACCCTCGAACCTTAGTTACATAGTTTATGACTTAAAGAGTACAGGAATTCACTAGAATTAAAGTTTGCTTAGCAGGGCAGAGTAGCCCTCTTAACAGAATACTACCACTACATATCCTCATTTTAAAAATACTTTAAGATACAAATATGCTCTTTTGCTTGTGAAAAACATCTGTACTCCATTTCAAACAAGAGAGTGTTGACAGAAAGACAGTCCTCTGAACATTTCCAGGTAACAGCTAGGTACCAGTATATTTGCTTTTTCAATGCAGAGCAATGTAAATAATACCCTTAGAGGCAACTGCAAACAAAAGAATTAGACTGGTGTTTCAACAATGCAAAGTGGGAATCTTTAAAAAGCTATTTCACTGAAAACAAATGAATTTTCCACCTGCAACTTTCTGCAGGTTTCTGCATTTGGCAAACAGAACTTCACTTCTGCAATGTTATTTTAGGACGTGAAAAGATGCATCCCAGAGTTACTCCTCTACTGACTGCAGTGGATCAATAGCTTTTTCTGAATTTCACACTTAACATAAATTTACAGCCACTATTCTATGGCAGATGAGCACTAGAGAAGCTCCTCCTTCAAAGCAGGCAAAACATAGAATCATAGAAAAGTTAAGGTTGGAAAGGACCTTAAGATCATCAAGTTCCAACCGCCCTGCCATGGGCAGGGACACCTCACACTAAACCATGTCACCCAAGGCTCTGTCCAACCTGGCCTTGAGCTCCGCCAGGGATGGAATATTTACAGCTTCCCTGAGCAACCCATTCCAGTGCCTCACCACCCTTAACAGTAAAGAACTTCCTCCTTATATCCAATCTAAACTTCCCCTGTTTAAGTTTTAACCCATTACCCTTGTCAGTCAACTTTCAGTTGATTTTTGTACAAGGTTTCTCTTTGTCCTATGAAAACTGCTATAATAGTTTACTCACAGGCTGCTTTTTTTTTTTTTTTTTCTTGTAAAACTAAGGTTTTACAGTCTGCTTGACTTGAAAAACTGCATATCTGACTACACATTGCCTCACTATGAGCAGTATGCAGAAAACTCCACACTGGCTCAAGAAGAGGAGGTTAAAAGAAAGCCACCTCCAAAAGAACATCACCAGAGGGGTGGGAGGAGGGGGGATGAAGTAAAGAGTAATCTTTTAAAAAAAAAAAAATGTCTCTTGAGGAGGGGCGAGGGGGAAAAAAATCACCTCTTCTCCTGAAAACACTTTTAGGTTCCACATCTATGAACCAGAATCTCCTAGGAAGCCCTTAAAGTGCTGATTTCTTAATAAACGTTCTCATAAGGAACTAAATCACAGCTCCCTTTCTAAATGTTACTGGTTTCAGGAGACTGCAGATGTAAAATGCATTCTTGTAAAATGCATTATAAAGCACAATGGACTCAGGCAAGCGCTTCTACAAAGTGAGAGCAATGCGTGCAGTACAGAAAGAGTTGTGAAAGTGCTGTTTTAATGCCAAAGTACTACAATCTAGATACACAAATATTCTTTTCATTTTAAGCTGTGACTATTGTTCCTGCAGTAATAAAATACATGTCAATGTGACATTAGCGAGGAAAAGAACAGACCCCTGCCAGATTTGCAAATCTACTGTACTTCCAAACTCCAGCAGAAAGGAATAGTTAAAGAAATATTCACACAGGTTTGGAGGGTGGAAATTTCAATAAATGCATACAACCTGACCTACAAAAGTCAATTCCTACTGAATTGTTAAGGATGGATATAAAGGTAAAGCATAAAAGTTATTTCAAGACAGAACTGAAATTTTCCAACAATAACACAGGATGCTTCTAAGTCACATTTTCTTTAAGATCTTAAACCGCAAACCTGCACGATGCTGTCTACATCCTTACAAAATCATTAAATACAGTTACTTTGTTTCATGGTAACCTCTCAGTAAAGTCACAAGATACCTGAAGACATTTGAGCTTGTTTTATTAAAGGTCTTTAAAGTACTCTCTTGTACCTGCACCTCGTCCTGTCGACTGTTCTTTCATCTTTTCCATTATTTTTTATCATTCTTAACATGCTGAAAGTAAACTTCCATGCCAAAACACAAGCATTAAAAAGAAAAAAAAAAGCCCCACAACAGCAAAACAAACAAAACCCCAGAAAGTTGTCATAGCTACTTGCCTCTTGGCAGTTTCTGAGCATTTCCCAGGTTTAGCGCAATATATCCACAGAAAAGGAGAAAAACCGATCTTGCCATCATAGTCACAAACCCAGCCTTGCACTGGGAATGATTGTGACAGGTAACGCACAGAAGTACTGCAGCTGCATTTAAGTGAACTGTTCTCTCTGTGGCAAGAGGCAGGAACACTTTGACACGAGCTTAGTTTACACAGTGGGAGGAGACAGGATGACATCACTTACTCCCACTGCAAAAGGAGAATTAGCATTAAAAAAAAAAAAAAAGGAAAAAAGAATTATCAGGCTCCTCCTACACTAATCTTCTGGGGTTTGTTACAAGGTCCTTCCACCACTCAGGGTAAGAGATGACCATTTTATGTTTTAAATTTCAAGCAAATAAAATCAGGGATATCAAAACTTCTATTAACTGAAAACTGATGTGTGAGACATTTTCACTGTTTTATCCCAGAAAGCTGGACTTGAAATACAAAAATAACACTTGCAGTACTCAGAAAACTGTTTGCTATATTGAACTCAGTATTTCTGCAATCTCGAGACTTTGCTTAAGGTTAGTTTGAGCTAGACATGGCTTTCATCCAGGCAAAACAATTACTACTTACACTTGACACAACATCATAAACATATAAATATGTGTTCGGTAAAAGATCTGTGTTTAAAAAAAACAAATGTCATTTTTTCATTTGTATCTGATTTGGCAATTAAAAAATATTTTATATTTTCCCCTTTCATAAGAGTCTGGTGAGACAATGAGCACAGTGCCCATGTGAAAGTAAAAAGGCAATGCATCTCCTTACAGAGGCTGGATCCTCTCGCCAGTTACATAACTGCAAATGAGTAAGAAATTCCATTATTCCATTTAAAGCTGTTTCACTCAAATGAGTTGACCAAGCACAGAATTTGGTCCTATCCACAACTGGGAATGTGGGAATAAAGGGGTGAAGCAGAAGAAATAGGTTGCAACAGAATAAGGAAGAATTTAGACTTAGTATCTGGAAAACATTCCCAAAGAGATTACATCTATTCAGTGTGTACTCCCCAACAAACACCAAACCACCACGAAAAACCACATCAACAACCAAACCCAAACATATTCTCTGCTTGTAATATGCAAAGCTCTTCAGCATGTATGGTCTGTTGCCCCTCCCCACTTGCCTGGGACCTGACATCATCCTACTTTCATACAGTGTTCCGTAAGCAGAGAGAAGTCACAGTATTAGTGCCTGCTCTGGGTAGAAACAAAGTAATTTCAAAAAAAAGTTAATATATTAAAGCATACAGGAGTGTTTCTTAAAAAACAGATTAATACTTTATTTAAAAGACCCCATGTACTCTATACTTCAGAAAGAGCTTCAAAACAGAAGCTGAGTAATGGTCCTAGAAAAAACAACCAAGGAATTTCAAGGTCTTCTAATCAATATGGAGAACACACAGCTATAACAAAACCATTTTGACAATGGAAATGTTTTCCAGCCTGATCACACCCTCTTAATTCTGACATATGGGAACCTTTTTTTGATTCATTAACTGAAAGCTGGGAATAACAAGTTGGAAGTCAATATTATTGACAGACCACAAAAAGATCCCCAAACACTATTACCTTAAAGGTCTTTGGGAGGATTCACATCCTGAATGTGAACACTATGAACAGATACATGCAACAGGTACAATGTTTAGAAGGCCATACAGTTGGACAGGAGTCTCCCAAAACACTGACCACACATAATGGCAAAAGAGTTTCAAACGACAGAAAGCTGGATGCACAGAGCAAATGTGACATTCTTCTTTTCATGGTGAAATACTGTTTTCAAAAATGCCCCAGAAAGCACACTCTATTTTTTCCTGTTCAAAATTAAAAATAAGAAATCAAGCATTTGAAGGAGCAGTCTCTCAGGAGAAGTAATGGGAAAAAACACTTCTTGGTTACACACAGCTGTCTTTGTATTATTGTAAAGTGGACTCTTGGTTTGTCTTATGGCAAATTCACTCTCCTTTTAAAGAGCATACAAAACCTTTCAAAAAATATACAAAGGCCAACTTTATTCAGAAAAACCTCTGTGAAACATATTAATCATTTATTAAGAGATAGTAATATTCCCATTACTGCTTTCAGAACCACTTGCTTGTCTGCTGCCAGGTACACCTTTCCTCTCCCTCCTGTGCATTTTCCAAACACTTCTTTGGTACACCATAGAGACATGTAGCCTTCTCCTTGAAATCCTGGCAGACTATCCAGGTCCCTTTCCCTCTGAATATTCCTGTAGAAAAAAGCTCTGCTCAGCCCAGCATTAAAAAATCCACATCGTGATGCATTTCACATTCTGTCTTACCAAGCATATGCTTCATCAGAGGCAATTACGGCTTGATAAACAGAAACAAGTGCAAAGACTCAAAAAAGTTTTAATATAAAATTCTGTTACGCTTTTCCAGTATACTCTCAGCACAGAATCATAGAACCATAGAATATTTAGGGCTCAAAAGGACCTTAAAATCATCTAACTCTGCCTCATCTTTGTCATCAGCGATTTCCTCCACTTATTTTGTTACAGGACTGACTTTTCTTAGGAAACCTGTTACACAAAAAAGAAAAAACAAACCAGCTTCTGCTTTCCTTCTTCCTAAAGCCTTCTGCTATTCACTGGATACTGACTACTGCAAACATGGGAGCAGAGGGAGCTTCTGGGATTTCAAGCACTATCGTACACTACTGGATGCTTCTGTAATGCTGTTCAGGTTTTAGATTTCTCCTTTTGATGAAGGGACGCTCCACAAACTCCATTTAACTAGAGACAGCATTTGGTTTCAGTTCACAGAAATAAAATCTGTACATCACACTTCACAGCAGAAATCATCCAACCCAGAAGTTCCTCAGGTTTCTTTCATCCATTCAAAACTGGAATTATACTACTCAGCTGTCATGGTTTAAGCCCAGCCATAAATCAGACCACACAGTCTCTGTCTCACTCCCCCCCGTTCTCACCTGCCCCCTCCCAGAGGGATGGGGAGGAGAATCGAAAGAATGTAAATCCCACAGGTTGAAATAAGAACAGTCCAGTAACTAAGGTATAACACAAACCACTGCTGCTGCCAACAATAATAATAATAATAAGGGAAATAACAAGGGAAGAGAATACAACCGCTCACCACCCGCTGACCAATACCCTGCCCAACCCTGGCAGTGATCTAGCCCTTCTGAGTAACCGCCCCCAGTTCTCATCCTGGGCATGACGTGCTGTGGTATGGAATACCTCTTTGGCTAGTTTGGGTCAGGTGTCCTGTCTCTGCTTCCTTTCGGCTTCCCCTCCTCCCTGACAGATCATGAGACTCAGAAAGTCCTTGGTCAGACTAAACATGGCTTAGCAACAGCTGAATACATTGGTGTCATCAACGCTGTTCCCAGGCTGAAAATCAAAACCACAGCACTACACCAGGTACTAAGAAGGAGAAAAACGGCTGCTACTGCTGAACCCAGGACACCATCCTTTGTCCCATCACAGAAGGAAAAGATGAAATAAAGAAGATTCAGTTAATGACAGGTTTGTGTTAGTTTACTTAGACTGGTCAGCCTCACCTCCATCCCTGGGAAAGCGATGGAACACCTTGTCCTTGGTGCCATCTTAAGGCATATCAAGGATAAGAGGGTTATGAGGGGCAGTCAACATGGCTTCACCAAGGGGAAATCATGCTTGACCAATCTCTTAGCCTTTTATGAGGAAATAACACGGTGGATGGATGATGGCAGAGCGGTGGATGTGGTCTACCTTGACTTCAGCAAAGCATTTGACACAGTCTCCCACAGCATCCTCACGGCTAAATTGAGGAAGTGTGGTCTGGATGATCAGGTAGTGAGGTGGACTGTGAACTGGCTGAAGGAGAGAAGCCAGAGAGTTGTAGTCTATGGGGCGGAGTCTAGTTGGAGGCCTGTATCTAGTGGAGTGCCTCAAGGGTCAGTACTGGGGCCGGTATTATTTAATATATTCATCAATGATTTAAATGAGGGAATTGAGTGTACTATCAGCAAGTTTGCTGATGACACTAAGCTGGGAGGAGTGGCTGACACGCCAGAAGGCTGTGCTGCCATCCAGCGAGACCTGGACAGGCTGGAGAGTTGGGCAGGGAATAACTTGATGAAATATAACAAGGGAAAGTGTAGAGTCCTGCACCTGGGCAGGAACAACCCCAGGTTCCAGTATAGGTTGGGGAACGACCTGTTAGAGAGCAGTGTAGGGGAGAGGGACCTGGGGGTCCTAGTGAACGACAGGAGGACCATGAGCCAACACTGTGCCCTTGTGGCCAAGAAGGCCAAAGGCATCCTGGGATGTATTAGAAGGGGGGTGGTTAGTAGATCGAGAGAGGTCCTCCTTCCCCTCTACTCTGCCCTGGTGAGACCCCATCTGGAATATTGTGTCCAGTTCTGGGCCCCTCAGTTCAAGAAGGACAGGGAGCTGCTGGAGAGAGTCCAGCGCAGGGCAACGAAGATGATTAAGGGAGTGGAGCATCTCCCTTATGAGGAAAGACTGAGGGAGCTGGGTCTCTATAGTTTGGAGAAGAGGAGACTGAGGGGTGACCTTATTAGTGTCTATAAATATATAAAGGGGGAGTGTCACGAGGATGGAGCCAGGCTCTACTCAGTGGCAAACAATGATAGGACAAGGGGTAATGGGTACAAACTGGAACACAAGAGGTTCCACTTAAACTTGAGAAGAAACTTCTTCTCAGTGAGGGTGACGGAACACTGGAACAGGCTGCCCAGGGAGGTTGTGGAGTCTCCTTCCCTGGAGACATTCAAAACCCGCCTGGACACATTCCTGTGTAACATTATGTAGGTGTTCCTGCTCCGGCAGGGGGATTGGACTAGATGATCTTTTGAGGTCCCTTCCAATCTCTAGCATACTGTGATACCGTGATACTGTGTGATACTTTTACCTTAAAAGGCAAGAAAAACAGGGCAAGTGCAGTTATGAAAAATCTCAAACAGATAAAATTTGAAGTCAAAACCTCTCATACCCCTAAATCCTCCAATTCAGCACTAAATTAATGCTTAAGTAACAAAGTCAAGTACTCAAAAGCTTACTTCCTTATCTCAACTTCAACAGAACCTCTCTGGGGTAGATCTCAAAAACAGAGACTCCAACAAGATAGTATCACAGCAAGTCTGGGAGCAGAACTGTGTTTTTACAGTTCTATTTTAATAATTATCAGGCCAAAAAGTGCAGTGAAAACAAGAGTATGGGAAGGCAAATAAAATGTTAGAGGGGTCTGGGGGGAGAACAGCACATTTTGTTTCCAAATACAAATATGCTTTTGTTGAGATCTGGGCTCAGTTCTAATTCACCTGTCATTCCTGATTATTTTGACAAGCAAAAGCCAAGGTGATTCAACTCCTTACTGTTCTAATTTAAAGCAGGAAGAATGTGTAAAGCATAATCTTAAAAAACAAAATCCTATTTTCACTCTTAAAAGCATAAAAACGCTCTATGGAACTCTAACAGTAAGGACATACTTGCAGTACACTTGGTCTGTCTTTCTTCACAGCACTGCTGGTTGGTACTCTACCTTTCACCAGTGCTGACATTTATTTGAGAAATGCCGTTGCTTAAAAATGTAAATGTTAATAATAATTATCATTCTTTTGTGTGTGGCTCAGTTATTGGACTCTTTTTCTTGTAAATCTCAGGGGATCTCCTCTGAAGGCCTTCAGGAAAAGACAGATGCCAAAGAACATTCTTTCAGATGTGTTGCTTAACAAAGAAAAGGAAGAAAAAAGAAAATCTTAACTCTATTTTCTGAAAGTCTGCAATTGCTTCTTCTTTCTCACTCTCCCACTGTCAATTCGGTAAGCAAACATTTGAACTCTCATGCTATCAAAAACACAGGGTCACATACTAATCTATTAGTCTAAAGGTAAGGCATATTTCATTTGATACAATAAAAATGACAGACAATGTCAGTGCATTCCAATATCCTGATCCCAAGCTGAGTTCCAGATCTCCAGATGAATGGGATCAGAGACAAATTGAAAGAAATCAGTCAAATGGATGCTCAGAACAGCTTTTTTTTGAGACATTT